GAGAACATCACTGGACAATCATCGAAGGAAGGACTGCTTTCAGACATATAGCTTTTTTCCTTTCCCCACTTTTACCGCGACCACGTGATTGTTCATCGACTCGTCGACTGAAAAGTCAGCTCCCAAATCAATTATTACATCCACGGAGATTATATAATTATATGATGATGCTGAGTAGCTAGTCAAATTTATTTAATATAATGGTCCTAATTCTACCTCTACAAGGCTAATCTCTCGCACTACTTGAATAGGTAAAGTGTCGATTAATCAGTCGACACAGTTTGAATAATTCAAAAGGACCTCCGGGCTATCAATGCATTGATGAGGCGGGGACGTTAATATAACGGAATATTGCCAAAAAACACTGTTAAGCAAATGCAACGTCTCTGCACATGAATATGATTGTGCCATTAAAAATAAGAAGAAAAAAAACAGTAAAAATGCGGTTATCTGGTAGAAGTCGACCTTCTACTTGGTTTTACGACCAGGCAGAGCTGAAGCAACCGAAGCTTATAGGGTTATCCATCAAGCTAAATATTTTTGGGATCTTTTTTCAATCCATTGCTTCTTCACTTCCTTTTTGAGACCTTTTTATGCTATCAATTGTTCCCCTAGTTGGGCGGGGGTCATAGTTTGAAGCGTATACGGAAATGGGCAACCAAGCCCATTTAGATATGGACAAAGGGAAGCCATCATCCGAATCTTGTAGGGCTCAAAATCTTAAAAAGAACGCGACCTCTAATTCTGGGCAAACCTTGCATAGCTCTGCAAGGCCATATCCTGGGAAAAATTGCCATTATTATGACAGGAAACCCCCGGGGGTGGGGTGGGGGAGAAGGGGAAAGAAAGGAGGAGACCAAACTCTCCCGAGAAGCTAAAGTAACTTAGTTGGAGCCCATAAGTCATTCCTTGCTTTAGGTTTGTGCCTTCCGATTGGAGTATCTTGAAACCCAAAATTCATATTAACATGGAGGCCCATGTTGCTTTTTGGTTTTCCAACTCTAAAACCTACAATGTCTCTTAGCCCTCCTCGCCAGAGGACGAATGGCGGACCCAGGACGAGCCTCTTGTACTGGTGCTACCAGTGCCACCGAAGGTCCGTCTCCCCTCCTCCACAGACCCATCCCACATTACCTGCCCACTTTGTTCTGGTCAGTTCCTCTGTGAAATCAACCTATCGGGGCCTAGACCGGTCTCGGATTTTACCGACGCCGATCCATCACCGGAAGCCCGTTTGCTAGAAGCCCTCTCTTGGTTGTTTGACCCGCGAATTAGGCGGTTTAATGGTCGTCTCCACGATCCTCAAGCTCAACCTCCCCGCTTCCGTTGGATTCAGGAGCGAGAGCGATCACGCCCGCAAGAAGGCGGGCGTCAAGCCGACTCCGATGGCGAAATTCCTGTCCGTCGTGGAACACGTCGACGACATCGTCGGGCTGCTCAGAGAGATTGGGATTCTGATGCAGATGTTCCAGAACCTGAAATTCTTCCTCCTCCTCGGACTTGGCTAATTCTTCCACCTATAGATCCGTCTAGCCCATTGGAGTTGATTCGGAGACGACAAAACCCTATACTGCGCGGTGTGGACCCGAGAGACTATTACTTTGGTCCTGGCTTAGGGGAACTGATTGACCAGTTGACAGAAAATGACAGGCCAGGGGCACCGCCGGCGCCGGAGAGAGCTATCAATGCGATTCCAAGTGTGAAAATCGCGGAGAGCCATCTGAAGGACAACTCGTACTGCCCTGTTTGCCAGGAAGAATTTGAACTGGGTGGAGATGCAAGGGAATTGCCTTGCAAGCACATATACCATTCAGATTGCATTGTTCCTTGGCTCAGGCTTCACAATTCTTGCCCTGTTTGCCGGCTTGAGGTGCCGGTGCCGGTGCCGGAGCCGGTGTCTTCCGAGTCCGGTGAACCCAGTGGCGGAGAAGGCAGGCTGCGAAGGTGCTTGAGATGGAGTCAGATTCGACTGGCTTTTTGTGGCCCTTCCACGGGAGGCATCGTCGGATTCGTCCAGAAGAAGAGAATCATGTAATCGCTTCTGCAAGGGGTGATAACGGAATCCTTTTTCTATAACTCTACTCCATGAATAGAAATGACCCAACTCTCTAAAGAACAAACAAGCAGTAAATGCTTTTTGAGAAATACTGGCTTTGTTTTAAAATACACCTGTTGACTTGTGTGCGACTGTCCATGCAAAAATTAAACAATCTGGGAGGACAATATAACGAAAACACTAGCAGATTGAATGCATCTAATTATATGCTAATAATAGCATAATCTTGAAAGACCCATTTGGTGCACTTGTACTAAGTCTGACTTTCACTCGTTGTTTGCCATTTGCAGCAGCTAGTCCACGGCGGATCTCATCATGCTGTATTCTTTAGTTCACTAAAGATACTGACACTGATTTGCCTCGGCTTACCCTTGAAGTTCACTCTGCCTCCCCTATCAGAAAACAGCGGCCCCTACTTCAATACGATTACATATTCTCTTGGAGTTCCAAAAATAGAACCAAACACAGACGCTCTGGGCCAACGAACATGGATAACCCAAAATGGAATTCAGTAACATTTGTTTCAAGATCTAATATTGGAAATCTCTTATGTTAATTCTCGCGTTTATGGTGAAAAAGCGTGTTATGTAGATAAATTTATCTCAGGTCAGCTTTATTTGATCCCGCTTCTGAAGGCCATTTCTTGGGCTTCTGCATAGTAATGGACGTGTAGGTAACACACGAGGGACCAAAGTGAAAAAACTCAAGTAGACCAAAGATCATTGTTTGAGATTCACCTTAGGCAACCGGGAAAAATAGTCTGCCGAGGAATATGGTTATTCTTCGTTCTGTTGGAAAGTTATATAGAATTAGAATTCCGGACACTGGAGGTTTCTATTTGTGCGTAAATGGCATATTGGTTCCACATTCACATACAAAAAATTCTCTCCCATCAAAATTCTTTTCTTATAATATTGAATAAAAATCTTAGTTACTTGACAAATTAGTCCACAAATAAATAAATAAAAAGATTATAGCGATTCAGGATTCTGATTGATAATATGGAATTCAAAGTTTTTTTTCTCTTTGTTTTTATTATTTTAGTATAAGAACAACTCCAGTCGTTCCCAAAAAATGTCAATCTGTGTTAATCCCACAAACGAAGTATTAAAAACATTAATAATGAGCAAGAGTCTCAAATATCCTGCGCCAAAAAAACATAATTGTCACTATAAATTTCTTAGAACTTGGACAAAACAAGCCCTCATGTGAAAGGAAAAATATTGAGAGTCATGATTCAATCTTAATATTGGCGTTCTGTGAAAAGGGGCCACGTGAATGCCAAAGTTCGGTCTGCAAAAGACTGCTCCTTTGTTGATTTTGTAACAAGCATCACAAAGCCACGCCCCCAATAAAAAAAATGGAACCATATTATTTCTCCATTAGTAAGTGCAATTTCAATTTTAAAAAGTCACAGCAGCAAATTATATGTATATATAATTGTCATAAATTAAAAAAATCTAATAAAATTATGTCTTAATAAGGCCAAACCTAGATCATTAATCTCATGCTTAATGTTGGATCTTGAACTCAATTCCGCTGCCTTTCTTCGTGGCGGGCAATTATTCTTTGCCTCAATGATGATGTGCGAAACGAGTGGGCTCACATGAAATATCATAAATAATTGCTCCTACTTTAATCCAGGCTTCTTTATGAAGTAAGAAACTTGAGCACTATTCCAAGTGTCATGTTTCTGGATGCATGTAGTAAATAAAAACACAAGCAATAATTACCTACATTAATAATGTCTCTTGTCGAGTTCTACCCACATCGTATCTCATTACTTTACATTCGCCAATTAAACTACTAGCCCCAGTTTCAGAAGGGGAATTCATCTGCCCAAAGTTTGTTAATATCAAAACAAAAGCACCCATAGTGTTGGACATACATATTATAATCTGGGGATTAATTGATTGGCGTTTAGAACCCGGCCACATGCCGTGTCTGAAATGCAGCAAGTTGAGCTTGTCCTTTAGTTCTATATTTCCATGTGCATCGTCGTGAGATCAAGTTAAAATAGTTGATCGATGGAGGAAGGTAGCCCTGTGTAGACCAAAACCCGTCCTTACATACTTGGGGAAGAGTCAAAAGAAAGGGAAGATATTCTCTGCTACTATTGCTGCGTATCTTTGAACACGTAATACCAAAACCAAAAGCTTTATTTCTTCTGCAAACTTCTAGGCTCATGACATCCAGATACAGTGTAAAAAACAAGAGAGGATGGGTCCCCATAACCTCTCCCTATTCCACAACAGGACATCTCATATGTGTCCTAAATCGGCTCCATCTTATGATCATTTTAGCTTCCTTACTTGGCCAAAAGGGTCAAACAGTTCGCCTTCTAAGCAGGTAAAGAATACAATCTTGTATATTAATATACACGTTAACCTTAGCATGAGACATATGAAAAGAACAGATCTGCTTGCATCATAAGAAGAACGTGGTAGATGTGATGCTTATTGTGAACGAAGTTGGGTCGGCTGAAAGGCATGGAATCCCGACAAATCATCACATGAAGAAATGATCTTTGATAGCTTTATCATTTTTTGTCAATTGGCTTTTGGCCTTAAAACCAACTTCAAAACATCACTCAACCCAAAAATTTTTGGGATGGGGGGCGGGGGAGGGCAGATTTCGTACACATGGATAGCATTCCAAGATGGTGTAATTCATGTATTGCCAATCTTCAATGCTCAGACAAGGAATCGTCCTTTGTTCTGTATGTAAGGTTCAATGAACATTGGATACATTATAACAGAAGACACATTTTCCGACAGATTTCAAGTTCCCACACCCGCAACACATGGTTCCCTCTTTTTCTGAAGTTAACTATTTAATTTTTCTGAGAATCTAAGGTCGTTCGATTGGTGCGACAAATGAAGGGGCTTTCCACAATCCACATACTAATCTAAAAAATAACCGAAACATTTGTTTATTACTGGGGACATTGATGAATATATTCTGCTACACATGGAAAGGATATTTATAACATAAACATGATAGAGCTTTGCATCAATGGTACATAATTTCAGATGTTCAGAAATTCACTTCAGAGAGTAGGCCAAAAAATTTGTCTTGTCTCAATGAATTTCTTCTTCTAACATGCACATATAGGAACCATTTATGTATAGATAAATGAGAATTTTAAACTTGGTCAGTCAGTAATATATGTATCTTCAACATGTAGCATTGGAGGCAAACGAATATGAATCTGTAAGGAAAAAGAATTGGGTTTTGGCCTGCATATATATATCTCAGCAGAAGCTCCACAAACGAATATCACTTTCTTCGCAACAATCATCCAGCAGCTGTGTGGGATCAATATCAAACAAATTACCACCGAGCATTTGATTTACATACTTTGGGGATTGTAAATCATCAAAGCTATACCAATAAGAGTCCATCAAAGAGACTGGTTCACCAGTCTGATCACAGCTAGTGTAGGCGCCAAATGACAGTGAGACATCGTCATCGATTTGATCGGAGGACATTGATGGGGACGAGACGATTGAGGAAGATGAGGTCGAGGCAGAGGCAGGGGGAGGCGAAGGTGGGGTTGTGGCATTGTCAGCAAAGCTATTAGCAGCCGCTGCAGCAACTCTTTGTATTGATTTTGGAGACATAACGGTATCCTGAGGAATATAGTGTGAAGAACTTGAAGGGAAGTTGAGATTTGCTGAAGAACCCTTAAGGCATAGAAGTGCAGCATCGTAGGCTCGAGCGGCAGCCTCGGGGGTTGAATAAGACCCCAACCATATTCTTGTTTTCTGGTTTGGTGCTCTGATCTCTGAAACCCATGAACCCCAGCTTCTCATTCTCACTCCCTTGTACTTCTTTTTCCCATCTGATGCTGCTGGCGACGAAGATTGAGGTTGAATTGGCTTTGATGTCTCTGTGTGGATCTTGTGCCCTCTCTTGACCATTATAGAGACTCGACTCAAAGATGTCTCAAGATCACTCTCCTTGGGCTGCAAAGGGTGTTCAACAAGTCTCTATTCCTCTCTTTTTGAATGTGGTTTTTCTTTCCTCCTGTTTGCTATTCCGAAAGTAAGGGAATGAATCAGATCGAACTGAATGTGGGGGAAGTAAAGGTGGCCTATTTATAGATGAATGCTTGTGTTCTAAGACATTAATTAAATACTCTACTCAATTCACCCCAAAAGAAAAACAAGAACTTCTATTCAAGATATGACATCTCTGCCAGATGGTTATTAGTTGATTTAAATTTAATGTGAACATTAACGTCAGACAACCTAGGTCTTAAAATGACTTCTTTGTCCTTTCTATATGAAGCTTCCTTCATGCTGCATCATTTGGTTGCAACTGTATCGCAGTTCTGTCACATGCCCTTTCATTTTGTACCATAGAAGTTTCAACTTTTACCTCTTTTCTTTATTTTCTGAGCTTATTCATCGCTTGGATTAAACAAAGAGAGTAATTTTTCTGATTACTCTTCAGCACATTTTGAGCACTCCACTAATGTGAACTAGCCTTTTGGTGCGTTTGAATAACAAAATATCTTTTCTGGTCTTCGGTGGGGGGCAGTTAAGATTTAGTCAATGGCAGATTTCTTGTTAAAACATGTTAAATATTTCTAGTTTACCACGTGAGATGCTGCAGAAGTTACCCTATGGAAACTAAACAACAAATAATTGAATACGACTTTCTTGAAGTCGGCAGTTTAAGGACAACCCAAGAAGAGAGAATTCTCAAAACGCCACTGTTTAAATAAGATGAAAATTCATTAAAATGCGTTAGACTTGGACTTCAATCCTATGGAGGAATAATATAAAAAAAGCAGGAGATAGTAAAGAACGTTAACCCCCTTGACTGTCTCGGGTAACATCATGGTTCCCAAAGGACAGTAAATAAAAAAATGAATAGCAATTTAAATAACGTATTAAGAGAATGAATATAAATATATGAGACGAGAATTTATATTAATTTATGACAATAATAATTATGTATGCGCAGAGAGAAAACATAGGATTCCCTGTTAAATAAGAGGCAGCTTCCAGGATCTGCAGGTGGTGGTGCATAACAAGAATCCAAAAAAGGAAAAGAAATTATTAGAAAATTAAAAAAGAAAAGAAGAAGAAAAAAGAGGAAGGGAAAAATATGTCAGTAGCAGATGAGACGCGCAGTCTAAATCAGTAGTGAAACCCATTTGTGATGCAACCAGCTGTTGCTTCTCTGTACTCAGCTCCAAAACCGCGTCAAGGAGCCTCCTTTCCTCATCCTCATGCATCTTTGTCTATCTCCATCTAATAATCAAACATTATTTAATATATAATTAAATGCATCAATCTCTCTGCTCATCTCAACCGTTGGATTGCCATGCTTAGTTGCTCCACGCCTCCATAACTTGACTTTCACTCTCCTTTCTAGTTTTAAGGTATTCCAATAGATTCTCCACTGGTACGGCACAAACGTTGTATGCCTTTTTCCTTCGGGAAAAATGCCATGCCAGCACATATGCATGGGATTGGAGGATAGGTTTTCAAAACACTGCCTTTTAATATAAGTTTTTGACTCTTTCTAACATGGGTCTGTTCTGTAGGGTCGACTTTCTCACATTCAAAGACCTTCGTTCTATCATTTCTTTTTCCATATATCATCATCATCATTTGAAGTTCATATGGTAGTAGTAGCCAGTAGGCAAACCAAAGTATGCGTGTTTGTCAACCTGACAGCAAAGGCTTGTCATTAGTCCACATAGAAGCCCACCTCCTCCTCTTTTGAATTTGTAATGGTCATTTTAAAAAATGAAGAGAAGACACCCAAACCTCTTACCATCGTACTATTTTAATTACTCGGAGCTTGTGTATAGAGCAAAGGATTCTGCAACGGGCGTGTCCTTTTGTATTAAATGAAAAAAAAGGGAAATTAATAGTAACAGTCGAGAGTTAAGTTGCATTCTCCAATGAGAATACAGGAGTGAAGAGAGCAGTGTCGTTAATCCGTACAAAGTCGTCTGCCTTCCTCTCTTCTTCCTAACGCTCTTGTGATGCACTCGGGAACATAAAGAATATAAATATCAGGTTTCAAGGCATCACGTCTGGTGCTGATAACAAATTCTACGAATCTTAAAACCATGTACGTACGTGCTCTGTTAATTAACAAAATTTGACATTTGATTAATTAGGTGCAGCTAAGGGTACGGTCTTTGACGTGACATTACTTTTCATTATAATGATTCCCACATGTTTTTGCCGCATTCCTCATTGTAAATCCCTCAAATATCGAAGGGGGGAGAGAGAGAGAGACCGAGTGTTCTGTTTGCTGGAAGCTGGATGGAAACTTCGTCTGCAAAATTGGGTTTGAGCCTAATGCTGCATTAGCTGGACCTTGTGGGATTAGTTGACAAGTTTGCCGTTTAATTTTGCTAATATATGTGAACACGATCACTCTGTTCCCCACCCCACCCCCCTTCTTTTTTTCACATAATTCTACATCTGCTAATGTTTTATATACATGTGCGCGCAATATAGAGTAAATTAAAGGGACCACCTCTATAATATAATTGCGTGCATGTGTTTTGACTGACGTATTAAATTGGGTTGTGACTGATTATGATTACCTGGAAAGTAAAACAAAGTTCTCTCAACTCGAGCAACTCCTGCATTCCTGGGCAAAATAATATCTACCGCTTTTGCCAACGTGTGTTTGGGAGAATTGAAGCTAGTGGCTGATGTTTAATTTCTGTAAAGCAGCACATTTTTATGTTGTCTCCTTTAAATTTTCTTTTTTTCCTTGGGATAATGAAGGAATGCGTTATCTATATCATAGACTAGCTAAAACCACACAGGGAGATCAGCTGGTGGGGAGCTGATTGACCATAAATATAAATGCATGCGATCTTGATAGTGTGGCAGAGATATGCTTAGTAGTACCTCTATCCTAACTGGCCCGTACCGACTTGGACCTTCCGTACCCCTCAGACTTTGAGTGAAAGCGACAAGCAAATAATATAAGGCCGCAATAAATGAGAGAGGCGAGTACAGCCAGCAGGAAGTAGGGCCATTCCATATTGAAACCTCACAGAAGAAGCATGCCTGTGCATGCATATCAGAGCAGGATCAGATCCTTCATTTTCAAATAAATTATGAGGAGGGCTAAGAGATTGGGAGGGATGGGCGAATCTGCACTGGTCAGCATTTCTTTTTCATTTGGGTTGGTTGTTGGGGGATGAAGAGGCAGTATCCATGTGCCCTCTGAGTTCGTCTCACAATTTGTGGGATTCAATTTTCTGCTTTAGATAAAATGCATATTTAGTGAAACTTCCCAGAAAACACTCTCCCATCGCTGCATGGATATCCTCAACAACCATATCTGTTTACAATTCGCGTCATCCCCTTCAGTGTTTGATAGCTGTTTCCTTATGTGCAATAACATATATATAATTCAATATATCTCTCTTGCACCCGACTTCTTCATCCACTTGCTGCAACTAGTAACCTTCTTAGCCGCTTCCCTATTCCCCAACCTGTTTCTTTTTCCACTATTCCAGCTAACACTGTCTAACAAATCTTCTCGTAGCTTTTTAATTGACTGAATTGGGTCTTGTCTGGGGGGAAGTTTTGGATATAATAAGGCCAACAAAAGCAACAGATGGACAGATATACTTTCGACGGGGGAATGAAGCATTATGAGTTATTCGTTACCCTCAGTCAAAATGTAACGAGAATCAGTAAGTGTTTGCTACATAGTATACACTACTCTGAGCTAAAGACTTGATTTTTTTAATCACCGGAGAAAAAAAAAAGAAGACTTGATTTTCAGCTGTTCATGGATGCGGCACGATAATTAGCGTCTTAGTAATTTATCATGAAATTCCTTTTTCCCGCCTCACTGACTTCTCTTGAATTTACTAGATTGGAAAAAATTAAGAAAAATTGCCGTTTGGAGTGAGGATTATGGACGTTTGAAATGACTTATAAGCAGTTTTTAATTGTGATTTACGGAATACAAGATAAACATATGAGAGCAGTTTTATTTCGATTTACGTGAGACATATGCTTACGAGGATTTTTAGGTCCCGTTTGCTATCACGTTTAAAATCACTTATAAGTACATTTCACATAAACCAAGACAAAACTTATCTCACATATTCACCTCGCATTTTGTAAATTACTATTGAAAAATTGCTTATAAGCCATTCTAAAAAAGCATTGTGAATCCAAAAAAGCCCTTGACTATTACATGGTTTGCAATGTTAGACATATTTATTGTAACTCATAGCATTGGCGAACGACAAATCATTTTGAAAACTAAATTCTCTTCGTTATAGTTTAATGAAACAAATGACTTTCACATCAAAAGAATTAGATTACGGCAGAATCCTACCAAAAGAATTGAAATTACTAAATCTCAAATGAAGAATTTTTACAAAAATATATTGTTATTTACAAGTCTAATATTGTCAAAATCAATTAAAAGGTTGGTGCTAAATCTTATTTAAAATTTAGTAATTTTAAGCTTTTTTTCCCGAAAAATTCTCCCTTAAATTATATATGCTAAAATAAAAGTGGGAAAAGCTTTACAGGACCCAGAATTCACTCAACGAACCCGGAGTAACCAAGAAGATTCAAATGGAAATCATAATAAAGTCTGACGATCTGAAAGTTGTGGAGACTCTTTCAAAGGCCCACAGGCCCAATATATGCGGAGGATCGAACAAGGGTATCATATTACTCCATACTCCACACTAATCAGTTTTGGCCCACAGAAGAAAATCACTGAGCTCTGAGAGAAGAGCAAATGCTGACCCAAAACGCTTAGAAGACAAGCACACGCATGCAAATGAAAGCACAGAAGCCAAGTTCATGAATACTGCAGAAAAATTATAAACCATGTCAATCCACCCCACCAGCGCAGAGTTGTGGCAACTAATTAAATTAGATATCAACTCAAAGTGCTACTTAAGGGTCAAACAGACATCTTGCTTGTTACTGGCTTTCCAATGCCTTATGGAAACTATTTACAGATCACACAGACAAATTTCAAAAGTTATGACGCATAACAAGTGCCGGAACATCTGATTCCCCAATGCCTCGTGGGGTGGGAGCATCCACCTCCCAGAATTCTTCACCTTACAAGTCACACGAGGCTCAAGTATTCTTCACCTTCAGTCGTTGCGAGGTTTAACAAGATAGCCTCGTCCGTTACCAAGAAACAACGGTGGACATCGATTATCATGCTTCCATAAATGAACTCAAGGAACTTATCACACTCTCGTATACTTTTATTCCCTTCAAATACACAGTATCTCGTAGATGCTGCAAGTGAATTCATGGGAGTTAAAAAGAGATGAGCTATCACTGAAATCATATGAAATAGCAGGAGAGATTCCCAATGAAGAATTAGAAATCGTCAAACCTCATTGTGGTCATGAAGCAAGATGGGAGTATTTGACATTGGTGAGAAACCAAGTACAGGAATTCCTGTCTGTCTAATGTACCGAGCATCAGTTGTTGAAGACAGAATTTCAGGCTTCGCTAGTTTTCCCCCAGCAAATGTGATAGCCTGCTCAAAAACTAACCACCATGAATTGGAGGCATTAGTTAAGGTCATTAAAGGGCGCCCCGTGTAGTCTCTAATGGGTCCTTTCTCTATGATCTGCCATATACAGAATGCAATCAGCCTGTCAACCATCATTCTATACTTTTGTTTGATCACAAACAAGCAAAAGAATAACAATCCTGAAATAAAAAGCTAACACAATGACCATTAGCAAAACGGTCAGAGTTTCCAAAGCATCTCAGTTTCTGATGTTACATCCAATATAGCCAAAATATCAAGGTTGTCAATGCATGCAGCAAGTGAAGAACTGAAACGATGAAATCATGAACTAATCAAGGAAACAAGCACAATAATGAAGAAAACAGTATCTCAGACGGAAGTAATTCATCCCAGGATGTATGGGAGTAACACCCACCCCAACTTCTGATGATTTGATTGATGGAAATGATTCATAAGGCAAAATAATTTGAACAGATGACACTTATGCTAAACAATAATGAGTGTCATATAACCAGTAACCAACCGACCTTCCCCTCCACAGCCCTTGAATTTCAAAATTTTGGTGAAAAACGGTACCTTTCGAGTTTCATACACCAGGAACCCATCCAAATAGCACTATTTTACTTTAAAAATTAGCGGGAATACAAATCATAGAGCAAAGAAAAATATGTCTAAAAAAGTGTTCATTCACCCTTTTCTTTCAAACTTGTTTGAAGTGCATGGACGATGGTACTAGGCTATCACCAGGCAGCAATCTGATAATCATGCTTACAATGCTAGTTAAGATTCTGTCATGTTCATGCATGTAATACTCACGTACGACCAAAAAAAGAACAACAACGTTTTCGTGCTAATTACATAAGTCACGGCATGTAGAATAACTGGCTAGCCTACCAGGCCAATGTCCTCAAAAAAAGAAATTCAAACAGTACATAAGCAAAAGTACAGTTAACTTGAACGTAGAAACATAACTCGTTAGCTGATGTCTGAAATAACATAGCATTATCCGTCGAAATGAAATGAAATAATCCGTCTCAAACTTTAATATTTATATGTCCCAAACGAATACTTTCACAATGACAGATATAGTTGCACTCGATTAAAAAATACCACAGGACCAATTTCACAAATACTTAACCTCATATGACATATTTCTAATAGCTGGAACCCATTCTTTAGCAATTCTCCTTTTCATTTCTTCTGGGTTCGCAGTGGGGGGCAACCTCAGATCGAATCCTGCTTCTGCTTCTGAAGGTTGCACATTCATCGCAAATCCCTGCATAAATGCCACGAACCATTTTATATACAACATTGATGTAGAAGTTCTCACCTGGAAAGATATTTGCTCATGCTACTCACTGTATCTGAAGTAACGCCAGCTTTAACATAAACGGGATTCACCGAAATAACTTCGGAATTAGCCGCTTTACCCGCCTTAACCACATCAAATTGACTCTCCCTAAACCTACTGATAACTTCAAGGCTCTTCATCAAATTCTCCATCGCACTGTTATCATACATCCTCGAACCGTGTCCCGGTGGACCATTTGCCTTTATTTTCAATCCCCATGGTGACCTATCCGCATAGAAAACTCTAAACTCGTCATCAGGCGAGGCCTGCCCTTCATCCAATACAAACCCAACATTCAAATTCTCGAAGTCCACCGAATGCACAAACTTAGCAGCCCCATGAAGACCACCTATTTCCTCCTCCGGTACATAAGACACATGGATTGTGCGAGCAGGCGCGAAATTCTTGTTTTTTAGATTTCTAATTGCCTCAATATATTGCATGCCGATGCACTTGTCGTCCTGGGCTCCTCGAGCAAAAATTTTGCCGTCAGGGGTCCTCACAGCAGAGAAGGGGGGGTGGAGCCACTTGGAGGGCTCTGCGGGAACTGAATCGAGATGGGAATTGAAAAGAAGGGAGGGAAGAGATGGATTTGAGCCAAGCCATGTTAGGAGGAGGAGGGGCTTCCCAGGTGAAAATTCGAGAGTTCGATACTGGAGGCCTATGGATTGTGCTTGAGAAATGAGAAAGGAGACAGCGGAAGCATAGTCTGGTTGTGGGTGAGCCGTGTTAATCCTCAGGTATTGCTGGAAGCGAGTGACCGGCGTCTCTTGTTCTTGGGGAGAGGCCAGTGAAGTTGCAGAGAGGATAATGAGATGAATAAGTAAGAAATGGCGGCAGTGAGGGAGCGCCATGGAAGAGGGAAGTCGATGAGTGGCCAGAGCGGGTGCCGCTTCTTCTTCTAAATTCTAATATTATATCTTTTGGCTCACGTCAAGTACACACAAAAATCTCGTAAGCTTTGGAATATTCACAAGTGTTATAGATAATTTATCATTTTTTTGCCAGAATATTAATAGTCTACTACCATTTAATCACCTCTCAACTACGCTTTGGCAAAAAAAAAAAAAAAGGGGGGAAACTATCAACTAATCATTTCAAATTTTGATCAATTATTTTATAAGTAAATTTTCAAAAGCGTCTCAGGCTAAATATCCACGGGAAAGGAAAGCAATATCCCGTGGCCTGGAGCGAGGCAGTGATAGGAGGCATAAACGGCATAACTGGTAACTGGTAAGCCGATCTACACTTCGCGCGCGGGGCGTGGGCCCTGAACTCTTATTTCAAAGCAGTATCAATTGTTGGTGCCCGATTCTTGCTTCCGCCTGGCCCCAATGGCGTTTGCAACCGCCGCGGCGGCGGCTGCGGCGTTGGCAAGGCCTTCCTCCGTTGTCATGGTAACCAGACCAAGCGTTAGGTGGGCCTTCAAGCCCCTCGCTGTTTCTTCATTCTCATCTCCATCTTCGCCTTCCACACCTTCTCGAAGGCTCGTCCTTTACTCGAAGCCCGATTGCTGCTTGTGCGATGGTCTCAAAGAGAAACTTCAAGCTGCTTTCTTGCTCTCTGGTCCTGATTCACTTCACGACGTAGATTTGCAGGTATCTCCCTCTCTCCCTCCTCCACTGTATGTTTGAATATCAGGTTCCTCATGTCGGTTTTTCTCAGATAAGGGATATAACTAGCAATCCGGAATGGGAAAGAGCTTACCAATATGAGATACCCGTGTTGGCCAAATTACACTCCGATGGCACAGAGGTCAGTTTCAAATACTGTGCTTGGTTTTCGGGACCGCCATTTGGTTAATGGGCTCTCCCTTAGCTCGAGCCTCGATCTCTTTACTGCTCTGTGTGTGTGCCTCTGTGTGTGTGTTGGTTAGCTTACCCAAAGCTAGGAGTCGCATGCTGTCTGTCTCATACGACAAATTTTGACCTTTACGGTGGAGCTTGAGAGCTTCAAACATTTACAACGGCCTATACATTGACTTGACGCCTGCAAGAAACTCTATGGCGGTTATTGCTTGACACTATGATTACTCCGAATTGAGTGGGGAAATGAAAGAGGGAAGGGGGGATGGCTGACATAGGGGTTTGGGAGCAGTGACTCCTAAATTATGATAATAGATCTGCAAGTGCTCATTTTTCACATTCGCATCGAATTTTCAGTGTTGAAGACCTATGACTTACGAACTGGGCATTGGGGCTATTGTTTACCGAGACAAGGTTTCATTTGTAAAAGCATACGGTATATACCACAATCCACAAGTTCAATGGTAGCATTTGCTCATTTGAAGATTAAAAAGGGTGGCTAATTTGAAAACGAGAAAATCTACATTTCATGCCCCTGTGCTGTCACTGAACTTTGCAGATAGTAATGGTAGGCAGAGTAGCAAATAGCAATCAATAATGGAACAGTGAGTTTCACTGATGATTAAAATGTTATAAATGGATGAATTACTCTCGCTATGCTCATGAAAATATATTCAAAACAGTGGCAATTGCCATGATCTGTGGTATTACAAAGTCCCAAACCACCTGGCTTAGAACTGTAAAATTTCATTCAAGATTAGCCCCTTGTCACTTGTTTAATCTTTTCCCAGTACACGACTGGTTTTAGCACTTGTTGCTTCAACCTCGAGTTTGGAGTTTGCCTGTTAAGAAGCACTCAGAATGACCTCTTAGCTCTTCATTTGAGTCTGTATTATTCCTACTTTTTTGTAGTTGTTTTTTGTTCTCCCTTGAGCGTCACGCCATCTTTCCTCCAACTCTGTCCCGATGTTTGCATAGTTTTTATGATTGCATAGTTATTGAATATTGAGTTATTATAAATGAATATGGATCCTTTTTTTTGGCTAGCGGATCTTAGTTGCTTCTATATGTAAACGAAGTCGGTCCTTAGTGAGGAAAAGCTTGTTCGCATTCACTTTCAGATACTAATAAAATTTGAGTTCTTTCCAGTAAGTTCTGGTATGTCAGTATTCTTTTAATATCTCTATTGATTAAGGAGCATTTGTTGGGTGAAATGTACCCCTTGTGTGCCATCTAGTCTGCTTCATCCTTGAACTATTTTGTCTGAAATAAGTTTAGATTGAGTAGGGGTTGAATAGAGCAGAGTTTTAAGGCATCAGGCTGCTATAGTTGATCATGCAGGCTTCATTTGTCCTGGGCAAAAGCTATATATTAACGTTTTGAGGCTTTGGTTTGATGATTTATTTATTAGATTATGGCTCTGGAAAACTGAGAATTTTTAGGTTTCAGTTTAGCAAGTGATTATGACTTGAACGTTTGACCATTATTATTAAATCATGAATCCTGAGGGGGAAAAATGACATGACATCGCCAAATTAGCATCACGCAGGTCCCAATCAGATGTACTTTGATTCATTGCAGTATCGCACTTGCCTATAAATGATACTACCTAGTTTGTAGTCCAATTGCATTGTACCACAACCTAGGTCTCATATTTTAAAAATGGAAGTAGTACATCTAGTTTAGTTGTATGTGAGTCTGACATCATTGGCTATAAAGATTACTCTCGTTCCACGTCTATCTAATCAATGTTTTCCCATCTGCAACGTTCTGTTAGAAAACTCCGTTAGGATGACAGTAGAGCAGTTGCAGAAGCTTTATTCGGAGAGTTTGTGAGAGATCCTTGCTTTCCCACGCTTAAATGATGAAGATGAACTGATGAAGTGAGCTTTGTAACGTAAACGGCTGGCCTACGATCTGGTGACATCCCCATCTGAAAAGCATTAGCAATGCTGAATTTGGGCCATTTCGCCCAGCCCTGGTTGGGATGAGTTACCATTGGGCCATCTTAGGTCCAGCGAAGTAGCATCATCGTTTGTTTTCCCATTTCATACCCTTCACCTATCTGAATCTCTGTGTCATGACAAAGTTTGTCTCATTTTCAGGAAATTTTACCGCGATTGTCTCCTCGTGTCGGAGTGGAACTCCTTCAAAAGAAGATAGCCGCTGCTTTCAGACAATAGAAGATGAAGTTAAAAGGGACCTTTTTTATAGGACTCGGGAAGCTGCAAGAGATGATTGTTTGATTACATCTGTACCATTTAGTCAATGACAATTTTCCTGAATCATATTTTTTTAGACTTGTCGTAATCTTGTTCCGCATGATAAACTTAGTCAAGTAATTTCTTAACTCCAGTAATTGAAACATTACTTTGTTTGGATGTGATTGAATTGTTCTTTATCTCGTTGACTTAGATTTTGCTGTCCACCTAATTTACTCTACCTTTCGCATGAAGGTAATGCAATTACTATTACTACTTTCATGCTTATTTTATTAAAAGCACTGGTCTAGTAGGCAATATTGCAGCAAGTGCAGGAGGCCAAATCTGCTTTAGAAGAAGTTGATGCGGAATTCCACCCAGCATATAATATTACTAATACTATTCTGCATGTTTATTGAATTTATCAGGCACTCGGGCCTCGCCCTTGGTTTTAGTGTGACGTCGCGATTTACCCCTAAAATTGAACCCAACAGATATGGAAGAACCCTGAATTATTGAGAGTGATTAGTGTAGAGGATAATATGAACATGCATGAAAACGATGGCAATTTTTTAGTGGAAGAGACACTCAATATCCCATTTGTTTCCCATTTCAGTATTGCGGAGAGTAGAGATTTGTTGTGTCACGTACGTGGGAAAAGAATGATTAATCCACGTTTAAATCAGAATTCTTTAATGAGCCTAAAGGAATCCCATAATCGTATTTCCTTTGACCTATCTCGTCTCCGTTACTATTATTATCTTGCTTTTTTTTGGGCACACGATGATTGAAGAGTAGGTCTTTGTTGTGGTGCCCAGGTTCCCTCTCTGCATCTGTCTTGTTCTTCTTCATTTTCTTTCCTTTCTTTATTTTCAAAATTGAACCGTTCTTTTTCTCTCTTTTATTCTCTTTTGTAAAACTGGCCTTTGTAGAGTTGTATTTTGCACGTCTTCTCTCTATAATTGAGCATGCCAAAATAAACCAAGCAACATCTTCTCTCACTTTTTTCTATATGCTAATGCAAGCTTACCATGTACGGCTTTCATCTATTCGTAATCGTTTTTACTAGTTTAAACCAGCATGGGAAACAGAAAGTGCTTGCACTCACTGCGACAAATCACGCCCCTGGATTTCAATGACAGAGGATAAGAAACTATTAGCCATAGCCCCCATACTCGTTTTGCGTTTAACAGTATTGTTCAGTGACCATTATGCAAACACTTAAATATGGATCTTTCGAAATCATTTTCCTTAACCATAGAGCATTACACAAAGAACGCATCATTATGAAGCAAACGGATTTGCTTCCAGGCCCTAGAGTTCGACTATGCATGCTGAATAAGAAGCAACCAATTAAAAACTCTCTCTCTCTCTGCTTTTTTTTTTTTTTTTGGGGCCATGAAATGATGAAATAAAATACTTGGACTCAATAATTTTTATTCCTACAAGGCAACTTATCGTTACTAAACGGATAGACGCACTCTCCTTGATATGCGGGTGCAATCTCTCGTCACCTCTATTTTTTTAAAATAAAAAAATTATATTGAGAAGCTTTTCTCCCCCATCATAAAAGCTTACATCTCTTTGTTTTTCAGCCATAAAAGCTTGTATCGGTTGATATTTAATGCGAAAAGTCATGAAAAATAAGACTAAAACGCATCATTGACGCAAATACAATTAATGAATATCTAATATATCGCTCACTTTTAAAAATATGATTTATTATTCATAAAATCAATTATATGTATTAAATTTTATTCTCGTGACATATCAATGAATTAAATACTTTATGCATCAATTAAGTAAAATTTAAATCAATTATATTTTTAAAAACTTGTAATATTTAATTTGTTTAAAAATAAGTCAAATATAAGATTATAGAATCCAAATATCTTTAATTAATGAGATTTAAATAACATTTTAATTGAGATTTGAATATATTGAGTTAAATAGGAAACATTATAAATAAATGCAATTTCAAATAGAGATTCAAATGAAAAAATTAATAATTAACTTTCAATTTAAATAATATCTTAATTGAAATCTGAATATATTAAATTAAATAGGAGGTATTATAATTAAATAGCATGTCAATAAGAGGCTTAAATAGAGAAATAAATAATTAATTTCAAATTTTCATCTATTCGCCATAAATTCTGCATTTCTAATTCAAATTCCATTAAAATGAATAAAAAAATATATTCCTATCAGCAGTAAATTTTAAACTATCTTAGATAACGCAATTTATTAAACTTTTAAATATAATCAAATAGATTAATCTGTGCATCGCATGGGAGAAATTTCTAGTTGTTCATTTAAATCTGCAGATTAAAATTAAGGTGAGTTTGAAAATGATATCCTTACAAAATGGACTTACTTTGTGTGACGTACTTACAAAGACTGGTACGACAACCGCATTTGGAAAGAACCCAGAACTTTTGAGTTTGTTTAGCTTCAAATACTGAACTTTAGTACCCCAAAAAAAAAAAATTACTGAACTTGAAAATGACAGAGACAGGGGAGAAACTTCAAAAATGGGGATGGGGGTATCTTCGATTTAACTTTGGCCTTCTCCTTTCCCAAGTTTATCGAAAAGCAAACATATGGCGGATCAGGCGCCAAGCGAAACATGGATCTTGATAAAGAGGTTTTACGTACTAAGAATCCATTTCAAACTCATGTTTAATTAGTTTTGTTTGGAAATAACCAATTTGATTCGATTTTGAACATATTAGAATATATTTGAGGGATTTTTTTTTTTGGGGTACAATTTTGAGGGGTTTTACGTACTGAGAATCCATTTCAAACCTGTGTCCCCTTTTTAGTCATTTGGTTCGTTAGCACAGTGTTCATTTATATATGGTCATTCACAATGAATCTTATGGGTTTAATTTCTTGTTTACTTTATGAATTTAATATTAATTTCGTATCGTTGGCACAAAAAAATAATAATTTCGTGTCGTTTGAATATGATCTGAATGAATTTTATTTATTTTAGTTTTTTCACACACAATCGTCATTCAAAAAGAAAAAGCAACATTATCAAATTCCAATTTCACAAGCATGACCATCCTATCATTGGGGCTCACAATAATTTTGATTCTCGCGTATCTCCTGTGTAATTCAACGAAAACGAAGTTTCACTTAACCCCAATATCATCCAATGAAAAACGTGCACCGTATCATCTTAACTTTTGAGTTATAAATGATGAATAAAGCTGGGAAGAGGATGAGATTAGAAAAAGTCGAAGCACACATACCTGGCGCACGATCCCTCCTTTTAAGAACACACGGAACAAGAGATCATTTACATGATGCTCACAATTTTGAAGGCCCTTTAATTTCTCTTGTTCTTCTCAGTATCTAGCTATATATTTTGTTCTAGTAAAAATACAAATTAATAACGTTTATTTTTGGCCAATCAATTATCATTTACCAATAAATGATGGAGAGATGAACTCATTATTGGGACTAGCTAGTAGCTGGCTAGTAGCCACTGGCACTGCATGCGTAAGTGAGGTACGTAGAGCAAATTTCGGTGTGATTGAGATTGGAGGGAGAAAGGGATTCGCAATTTGAAATAAAGAAACAGGTTTAGCCAGATTAATGGCCTGGAGAGCCCACCATACTCAGGAAAAAGTTGAGGATTTGATGGGAAAACATGGTGACATGCCCCCAAGTGTGCTCTGACTCAACATAGAGGAAGCCAGTACTCCACTAACTAATTTAACGCATCTACGTCGATATTGGCACATTGCCAAGAAACTAAAATTAAATTAAAGAAGCTTTTTTTTTTGGGGGGGGGGGGGAGGGGCCTGAATGGAGTTTTTATTTATTAATTACAAAAGAGTGAGAATTGAGTTAATTAGGGAGGGGAATATATCTAAAAAGCAGAAACTTTGATGCTTATCCAGATGCACTTGGCCAAGTGGGGTTGGTTGTCTCGGTCATCGCTCTCTGAGGTGATTGTATATAAAAGAAGCAGGCTGTGACACAGTTCGGAGCATCTCTGAGAGTTGTGATCAGAGAAATTGAGTGAGTGAAGGGAGAAATGTGTGGGACGAGCAGTTTGATGAATAAGGCGAAGCCTTATGTGCTAATGGTGGCATTGCAGTTTGGGATAGCAGGGACTGTGCTGTTCGGGATGACCAGTATGAAGCACGGTGTCAATCGTTTTGTGTTTAGTGCCTATCGCAATGCCTTTGCTGCTCTCTCCCTCGCTCCTTTTGCTTTCTTCCTTGATAGGTACGTCTTTCTTTCCCTCATTTTAATTTATGCATCCGCCTCCTCTATACTGCGTTCTTATCTCATGCTTTCTTCCTGTTTGATTTTGCAGGAAAGTGAGGCCCAAAATGACAATCTCTGTATTTTTACAGATCATGCTTCTCGGCTTTCTGGAGTATTACTCTTAACCTATATTTTCCCATCAGTATCATATGTCTCTTAAAGAAGGAACTAATAATCGTGCAATATCATGTATGAATTGATCTCTATTGCCTGTCTAAAAATTAAACAACTCGCCTTTATTTATATATATATATATATATATATATATATATATATTCATGCAAGAATCTAATTTGTTACATGGACTAGACAACAAGTTTTTAAATATCGTAGAAGTAGCAGTTCGGGGGAAGTTAAACGTGTTATTATAATAGATAATTTTAAGTGTAACCTAACCTGTATGTGATTTTCAGGCCGGTGGTGGACCAAGGTTTCACTTTCCTGGGGATGCAGTACACTTCAGCCACCTTTGCGTCTGCTATTATGAACACCGTGCCCTCCATCACCTTTGTATTAGCTATCATCTTTAGGTCAGAACTCAGTAGCCAGCCACAAAGGAAATTTCATAGTCATAAAATAACACACATGCGGGAGTAATAAATGAATATGATTATATGTGATGAACTTGGGTCAGGTTGGAGCGTTTGATGATAAGGGAGGCAGGGAGCATAGCGAAGGTGGTGGGAACGATGGTGACGTTTGGAGGGGCGCTGCTGATGACGCTGTACAAAGGCCCCATCGTACCCCTTTTTCATTCTGCAATTAGTGCAAGCAAGCAGCAGGCAGAGGGACGCCATGATTCCCCTCACAAACACTGGCTCACCGGCACACTTTTCATACTCCTAGGTTGTGCCGCTTGGTCTTGTTTCTTCATCTTGCAGGTTCGCCACATGTCCATTCCTATAATGAACTCAATTCATCATTAACCCAGATCGAACTATGTTTAACTGAATCAAGAGTGAAATTGCATATGTACAGTCGATAACGGTGAAGAAGTACCCGGCGGAACTGTCACTGGCGTGCTTGATATGCTTAGTGGGCAGCTTGCAGAGCGGAGCGGTGGCTCTTATATCGGACCACCACCCCGGAGCTTGGTCTGTCGGCTGGGACTACAGGCTCTTTTCTCCTCTCTACGCGGTCATTACTTCTCACCCGAGCTGCATATAGTTCTTATTATATATGGTTAATTCAGCGCACTGATGAGGATACAAACATGATCGAAACTACACATGCAGGGAATAGCTGGGTCGGGGATAGCGTATTACATGCAAGGATTGGTGCTGCAGACCAAAGGCCCAGTGTTCGTGACGGCCTTCTATCCCCTCTGCATGGTCATCGTTGCTGCTCTGGGCTCCTTCCTTCTGTCCGAACAACTCCATCTCGGAAGGTATATTTTCTATTGTTTGGACCTCAGTCCACTCCTTTTTTTTTTTTGTCCTTTTCTTTTTGTGTGTGGTTTAGATTATTATTGATATATAGTGCTGGTCTATCAAGTATATATGATTGGCTGACTCATGCTATATATGGCTGGATTATTGGTGATGGCAGTATAATAGGAGGGATGATTATCGCGGCGGGTCTGTACTGTGTGGTGTGGGGAAAAGGCAAGGACGAGCTGGCAGACCCGACGCCACCGGCAACAGTGAAGGAATCAGCACAAGAGCTTCCAGTTACCTCAATGGATACTGCTGACAAACCTATTTATTACCAAACCCCCAAGTGAACAGAGAATGACGTGCTCACCGCGAAGACAAAACGAAGAAGTCAAGTAACTGGTGGTTGTTATATATATACACACGTTGTTCAAGCAAAGTTTTCCTGTTTTTGCGTAAAATGACAAGCTGTAATTGCCTCCTAATTTTGCAGCACGTCGTGGTTTGGTTTTGTTAGAGAAGAGAATTACACTGAGCTACCAAACAAAAAAAATAATTATTAAGAAGTTTCAATAACAATTTAAGTGAGCTGTAATGACAAGTTTCAGGGTAGAATATAACACCTCTTAAAACTTATTTTATAATTATTTTTTTGAGATTTTATTGTAATTCTTCCATCTTGTCTGTGTCATGTCTGCACTTTAGCTTTCCCAATGAATAAATCCTTACCTGGAGCTGACATGGATCCTTCATTATCTGTATTATATATGATTGTGTGTTTGTGTGGAGTGACACGTGAGAATTATTTATCGCGTTTGATATATACCACTCAATAAATGAGGCTGAGATAGTCACACACAAAAAAAAGAAAAAAGAAAAATAAAGCCGAGACGGGAGAAAGACATCAGTAAAATAATAACAACTGGAAATATGAGTTGCAGGCTGGGCCATGAGTTCCGGTTTCCAAAAGTTTACCTTGGGATAGCTCATCCGGTTGCTCCGCCCTACCTTTAACTTGTGTGATCATACGCCACAGCTCGGGACGACGTCGTTCTCTCGATGGTGGAGGAGTGGACCCAGATAATCAGAGGAGGAGAAACAGACCCGGCTGCGGAGTCGCTCAATTTACGACTCTGTCGCGCTTTCTTTCAAACAACACTTTGTTTTCTAAACCAAATTCTGAACCGCAGTATCAATCAGACAGATTATATACAGTGATTGGCGATTAAACAAGGCCTTCGCCAAGGAAAAGCAGGCCTGGGCCGTACGTACAGGTGGAAAGGAAGAACACGGCCGTAGCACTATGAAGATGGGCTGGCTACATGGGAGCATGCTTCAAGCCCTCGTTAATCTTCTGGATTCATCCTATTCTCTGCCCTCTTTCATTCTATGCCACCTTTTTTTTTTTTTTGAGTTACAAGAGGGCGGACTCAAACCCGCAATACACATACCCACGCACATTCCCGTACCACTCGGTTCATTCTGTGCCATCTAAAAGGAACCCAAGACATAATAACAGTAGAGAAAAGGCTAATTCCTGGTATATGATAAACCAAAATTTTAATTTTTGTTAGGAAATGTATTTGTATTTAGTGCCTAACAGTATTTCAAATAAAATAGTAGTTAATACTACCTCTAGTCCTAATTATAAGATCTAGTTTATAATCTATAAATTAGGTCTTGTATTTATGACTGGAGGTAATAGAATGATACCTACGAGTAGCGGAAAAAAAAAACAGTATAATAATATAATACTCCTCCATATTTCCCCATGTTTAAAAGAAATTCACTCATGACGGGATGGGACAGGTCTATAATAGTAGTGCATTGATGAATGAATGCATTCTTAACAATCAAATTGAAAATTGAGATCACTCACCGCCCCTTCAAATCCTGATAATTCCAGTGAAGGCCATTTGTGAGGGCATGACTTGTTAAGACAGGTCACTTTCTCAGCAACAATATCCACACAGCGGCTATCGACTTTTTCTTTTTTGTCACCACCTTTTGTGCTTTTGTGAAATAATTTGGTTTGAGAAAATGATAAAAAAAAAAAACTGAAAATTACTAAATTTCAAATCAGATTTAATAACAACTCTTTATTTAGTGTTGATGATGCTGAATTTGCAAATGACAACAAATTTTTGTTGATATTCCTTATTTGGTATTTAGTAATTTCTAGTTTTTTTCTCTGGTCATTTTTTCATTTGGTTTTTCCGATAAAAAGAAAACATACAGAATCACTTCCATTATGTGCGTGTGTGTGTAATATGTGATAATTTTGAGGTGTTTGGGGTGAAAGCGAGGGAGGGCGGTGAAAGCAAATTAAAGAAGTGTTAAGAATCATCCGACGCAGCTTATGCTGCAAATTGGCCATAACGACGATGGAAAAGGACGATATATGTATAATGTCATGTTATTTAGAGAGTGCGCCCTGCATATGCCCCATAGTCAGTGAAAGTCGTAAAGTGGCATAAACCAGAGGCATCCGTATCAGATTCATGCTTCATTCCCATTTCTCATCTGGGATCAAGCCAGCTCCCCGATATTACTGTCTCCCTTCCAATTAAAATATCTTCCACTGTTTCTGCTAATATTCTTCTCATTACTTGATTAGGCCGATAAGCCACCGCGCGCATCATCGCCTGCGTATCTATCTATGACTACATCTCCCTTGCTTCATACGGATTATCACAATTTGCATCATCCACGCTAAATACCATATTTAATTAGTAAGAGATATGGCTTACAATCATTCTCACCAAACCCCTCCGGTTTATTAATACACCACGACCTTTCTTTCAATTGGGAAAAAAACTTGGATCAAGTTTTTTATGCCTATTATGTCAAGTTGTCCATAATATGTGGTCCTGTGTTATTTTTTGTTTCATGAGAATTTATAACTAAGTGGTATTAAATGCTAATATAATATTTCAAAAACAAAACATATAGTCATGTGTAATTGGAGAATTTAACATCATGAATATAAGAAATTTGATGCAAGTATTATCCTATTTCAATATATTCATTCTTTAAGGTTATGTTGCGCACATAATAATAAGAAATGTAATAAATATGTGAAAATATGACATAATTCACCGAATCTGTCGCCCATTTATTGCTAACAATAACTCATTACCTCTACAAATATCATTTTATTTTAAGGGTGAATCAGGAAAAATGATATTGTTATTTTGGAATTGAGAAATGACATGTGAAATAAAAAGAGCATTATAACTCATTATTGCATGTTGTTTAATTGTTATGAGATTTTTTTAATGATTACATTCATTTCTTAGGACTTTATAATAATTCTTCCTAAAACAAGTTTTATTTTTTTAACCTTGAGAAAACAAATATAATGAAAGGGAGTACTAGATATATATGTGGGGAAGTGGTTAAATGTCACTAACAGGTAGCTTAATTGCCTCTTCAAAAATGTTAAATAAAATGGATAAACTATTGGAAATGAAGGTCCCTTTGGGTAATATGGGAAAGCACAGCCGACACACGCGGTCAAAGGTGTGTTTACTTTAAAGTCATCATGTTTTTGTTGTCTTCCCTGATAAAAGAGTCATTATATGAAGATCACTAATATCAAGCATTTCAGTATTATGCGGGTAAAATAATAAACTTCATGATTTATATTAATCTATCCAGAGAACAAGTAGCCACTACGTGAAATAATGTCAATTATGTGTGTGGTGTGTGGATATACAACCAGTAAATGGAGAAGCGACTCCCTTAGGTTGAATAACTTTGGTTACGTTGCTGTACGTGAAATATAATAGATTCGCGTGATTAATTAAAGGAATAATGAAGGCCGTAAATTCAAATAACAAGGATGCAGGAGAATCATGGGAAGAACAAGAAGTTGTTTAATGAAGAAGGAATTAGGAATATTATTAGTGTGCCAACGGTGATTGCACTGGAGACAGAACGATTCATGAGGTGGTGTGTGTATTCCCTGCTGGGTGGAAGAATATGTATGAAGTGATGAAGAATCAAGGTGGGATAAATTCCAGAGGGCGTACACGTACGGATCCATCAGTTCAAATAGTTAATAAATATGTTCCATTCCACGTGGAAAATACGCAGCCCTTATAGCAACCCACCTAATATTATATTTCACTTGGAAGCATCATCTCTGAGCGTTGTGATCAGAAAAAATTGAGTGAGTGGGTGAGCGATGGGAGAGATATGTGGAACCAGCAGCAGTTTGGTGAACAAGGCAAAGCCTTTTGTGCTAATGGTGGCATTGCAATTCTTGCTAGCAGGAACTGTGCTGTTCGCAATGACCAGCGCGAAGCACGGTGTTAATCGTTTTGTGTTTAGTGCCTATCGCAATGCCTTTGCTGCTCTTTCCCTTGCTCCTTTTGCTTTCTTCCTTGATAGGCACGTTTTTCTAATTCCCTCATTTTATATACTCATCTGCCTCCTCTCCCGTTATTATTTAATTACTGCTTTTGGTTTTGCAGGAAAGTGAGGCCCAAGATGACAATCTCTGTATTTTTACAGATCATGCTTCTCGGCTTTCTGGAGTATTACTTTCGACTTATATGATCCCGACCCCCTCAATATCACATATATGTCACTTAAAGAAGGATATAATCATGCAATATCATATAATTATATGAATAATTGATCTTTATGAATATCTAAAAATTATAAATTAACTCTCCTTTGCATATCTTTTCATTCAAGGATATAATTTGTTAGGTGAAGAATAAGTAGCCGTTCAGAGAAAGTTAAACGTGTTATTATAATAGGTAATTTTAAGCGTAACCTAACCTGTATGTGATTTCAGGCCGGTGGTGGACCAAGGTTTCACTTTCTTGGGGATGCAGTACACTTCAGCTGCGTTTACGTCTGCTATCATCAACACCGTGCCCTCCCTCACCTTTGTATTAGCTATCATCTTTAGGTCAGAACTCAGTAGCCAGCCACAAAGGAAATTTCATTGTTATGAAATAACAAACACACGCAGGAGTAATTAATGAATATGATTATCTCTGATAAACTGGGGTCAGGTTGGAGCGTTTGAGGATGAGGGAGGCAGGGAGCAGAGCGAAGGTGGTGGGAACGATGGTGACGTTTGGAGGGGCGCTGCTGATGACGCTGTACAAAGGCCCCATCGTACCCCTTTTTCATTCTGCAACTAGCGCAAGCAAGCAGCAGGCAGAGGGACGCCATGATTCCCCTCACAAACACTGGCTCATCGGAACACTTTTCCTACTCCTAGGTTGTGCCGCTTGGTCTTGTTTCTTCATCTTGCAGGTTCACCGCATGTTCAATCCTATATTAAACCCTACTCGTTAACGTAACTCAGATCTAACGATGTTTAACTGAATCAAGAGTGAAATTGCATGTGTACATACAGTCGATAACGGTGAAGAAATACCCGGCGGAACTGTCACTGGCGTGCTTGATATGCTTAGTGGGCAGCTTGCAGAGTGGAGTTGCGGCTCTTATATCGGACCACCACCCCGGCGCTTGGTCTCTCGGCTGGGACTACAGGCTCTTTTCTCCTCTCTACGCGGTCATCACTTCTCACCCGAGCTGCATATAGTTCTTATTATATATGGTTAATTCAGGGCACTGATGAGGATACAAACATGATCGAAACGACACATGCAGGGAATAGCTGGGTCGGGGATAGCGTATTACGTGCAAGGATTGGTGCTGCAGACCAAAGGCCCAGTGTTCGTGACGGCCTTCTATCCCCTCTGCATGGTCATCGTTGCTGCTTTGAGCTCCTTCC